TTAAGCCCATCATATCTCAGAAATAGGATGACATAGGAAGCTGAAATTGCATGGGGGTGTTATGGGGACCATGCTCTTAAAGATGCCATAGTTATCATACGTTGTAATCAGGGGGGCCACTATGACTTAATGTCTTACTAATCATAGAATTTGTTCAATATGTGCTCCTTCAGTGTCTAGATTGCACAATGAATAAGTTCTTCAGAGGGACAGAAATGTTCTAATGCTGTTTGGTGCTGTATCTGTGAGTCTTTTGAAACAGGTTCTAGTGGTACGTAGTACACACAAGCAAATTCCAAATAATCACATTCTAAGACCAACAGCCAACCCTGACAGCATGAGTGAGGAAGTATGGGTCCTGATTTCATTGATCAATGCATCAGTGTACAAAATCATTGCCTACATGGTTAGACTATTGATGCTTCATATGTGAACCATTGTGACCTCGAAGTGGGACTCATGGTTCACACATATAGCAGTCCCACATGATTCACATATCTGGGAGTTAAAATCTTGTCTCCCCTTGGCTCAGCTGAAAAACCTCACAGCAAATCCATATTATTGTATTCTAGTCTCTGAATGCAGTTATATGGATTTTAATTTGTGTGTGTGCTGTATACCATTTGAACCTGTTTCAGAAGACTCACATATACAGAGTTGAACAGTACTGGAACATCACAGTCTCCCTGAAGAAACTTATTCATTTTGCATTCTGGACACTGAAGGAGCACATATTGAACAGTTGCTGTGATTAGTGAGACATTAAGTTACAGAGGCACCCCTAATTACAACATATGATAACTATGGCATCTTTCAGAGCATAGTCCCCATAACACCACTGTGCAATTTCAACTTCCTATGTCATACCATTTCTGAGATATTATGCATTAAAGTACAGAAGTGTCTTTATAATCACCCTGTATATAATTGCAGGTCAGTTTTGGATTTCAGTGTGAGGTGGAGAAAAACTCAATAAACTTTGTAAAAGAAAATAAGAACTAATTTTTAGGGACAATATTATTTTTAAAAAAAGACAAAAATGATATCCTGTTCTCATCCTATTTCCTTCCATGAGTTCCTTATGACTTGACTGAGTACTGAATTGGTTGAAAAGAACAATTCTCTGAATTAGAATGTCAGAATCAAAGCCTCGGATGTCCCATCTTGCTTAGCAAAAACAAAAGCTGAGTGAGGAAGACTTTCCACAAAGTATTCAGAAGAGCCTACAGGAAAGTTTGAAAGCCAAGGAAGGTGCTTAGGCAATAATGAGTGTCTCGTAGTCCACCCTTGCCATGTTGACCTTGTAAAGTGTTCATAAACCCTGTAGGTATCCACATATTACAGTTGAGAAACTTTTAGCCTACTCTATCAAAACCTGGCAGAATGTATATAGTCATTGTGCTTTAGATCCAAGTTATAGATCTTATTGAATGTGCCCTTACTCTGTAGTCCTACACAAGCCAGCCAATTTACAAACTATGATCCTCAATGTGCCTTATTTTTGTTTTTTTGCAGACTGTTGTAGTCCCTCTGAACTGCCCTAGTTGCCATGTCTGAAGCAGAGCAAGATGAATCCTGCTATTGTTGCAGTGGGACCATGAAAATGGGAAAGAAGAGCAAATCAGAGCCCAATTTCAATTGCTTCTCACTTTCTTCCCTTGATACAGCCCTTAAGCAGTTGGACATGCTCAGTACAGTCACTGAGAGCCGTCTTGACTACCTGAAGGAAAAGGAGGAGAAAGCCAAAGGACTTCCCAATTTGAAGAAGTTGAGTGAGCAGCTCAAGCTTCTATCTGTGCAGGAGTCCATCAAGGACCCATCAGAGAGCACCAAAATGGTGGTGTCAAGGAAGGTGCCATCCTACAGCATTAAAGGCTTTCAAGCCTGCTCACTCAATGACAAATATGTGGTCAGTGTATCTTTTGAGAACATTCTGGGGGACCAGCACCTGCTACGTTGGACTGGATTCCACTCGCGGGATATGCGTAGGCGTATACGCTCTAGTCCATATTCCTTGGTTTCACCTAAGGAATGGCTCAGCCCTGCACAACATCGCCTGCGCACAATAAGTTGGAATGAAGTTGAGGGCCTGTCTATGAAGGATGAGAAAGAGGAGAACCATGTGAATATGCCACTTCTATCCATCAAGTCAGGTTCTGCTGAGGACTTGCTTGCCAAGCCTTGTACTGTGAACACTTGATATGTGTGATTCAGCTTTTCAGAATCCAAGGGAAGGCAAAGATCCAGTTGAGGTTTATTTTCCATGTTTCATACATGAGAAAATAATCAGTGGATTCATGAAAAAAGAAAGTCATTATCTCATTTTGCCTTCATGGCCCTCCTTCTCCCATTATGAAAGGAATAAAAAAGTCTTTCCATTCCAGTGAAATGCATACAACTTGGGTCTAGTTTTGATAGATTTTAATACATATGCTAATTTAATTAGACCATGTGCAGGATGTGATAAGGTGCAGCCTGAACACGTAGAGGCACAGACACACTTGGCAAGTACTTGCCAGGTGTGTCTGCACTCTCTATCATGAACTCTTGCAAAGCCACACTTACCCACTCTTGTAAGGGCTTTCTTCACCAAGTATATTGGTGCCTTAAGACACAGTAAGTTGCAGCCTTTCTTTGTACCAAGGGACATGTCTCAAAAGTATTTTGGTGCAAGCCATTCTATGAGAATGTGTAACCTACTTGAAAATTCCCAACTGAATTGTACTTGCTCTCACTGCTGTCTTCCTGTGAGAATTGAATGCTGAATCACTTCAGTGTTATGCCTGCATGTCTCTTCTGTCAATTAGACAACTTAAAATAGTATGTTGAAACTGTCTTTCAGGGTATTTTGAGGATATGAAGCTTATCTGTGGAGTTAGCATTTGAATATGGAACAGAATTCCTATTCAAGGAGGTTTCACTAAACAACATTATTGTGTACCAGTCAAAACTTCAAATAAAATTGTGTCCTTGGCATCTTCAATATTTTAGCATTAATTTGCCAGAGAAGGATTTGCTTGAACATAGAATATTTATGGATTTTCCTGAGGAAGAAAACCTCACGATTCAAAACATTCAACTTCAATTTTACCAGCCCAATACATTTCCTTTGCATTGAGAATGTTTGTGTGAGGATGTGGTGATAGAAGGGTTCTGAGAAAAGCAAATTTGTTGAGATGAAGATTTTGCAAAATTTAGATCAATTTCTTGAAAGTAGTGCTTATATGATACGTGTGACTCATACATGACTTTGGGGGAAGACAACATTTATCTTTTTGCTGTCACCTCACTTCTCGGAAGCGAGGAAGGTTTCACTAGTGTAGGATTGTGTAAATTTTTTAATTGAAGAGAATTTATACTCCTTTCCTTCAGTTTTACTACTATTTGCCTTACCTTGTCGACTCTCTTTGCTCTTCCTTGTCCGAAGCATCATCCTCTGTATTTTGAAGGCCCATTTATGCAGATTTTTTTTTATCGGTCTCGTGAAAAAGGTTGAAGGTGGAAGGAACAAGTGACACCACATTAAGGGTTTGTTGGTTAGGATGTACTTGTATTTCCCATCCTCCTGCTGGTAACTTCTGGTCTTCCCCGAAAATTTTCCACGATTATTTCCCTGGTGTGGAGTTTTTCAATGTGGAGAGTGAGGAGTAAACGCCGCCCTTGATAAGTGACTGGGTGGAAGAGCTGGAGTAGAGATATGAGGTACAGTCGAACTCTGTTATAACGACGAAAGCGCCAGGTCCCGGCATAGAGCCCATAAGGCACGTTGCATTTTACCTCGGTTATAACGAAGTCCATTCAAGGTCTCACAGACGAAATCGACAACGTTCATGTCCCTAATCAACTGAAATTCCCGTCATCTGAAAAATTAGTGCTGGCGAGCCATAACTTTATATTTCCTGGATTCGGCATTCCTTGAGAGTCGTGGGTGTGGCTGGAGCAATGTTGGGGAGGAATAATCCCCAGTAACTAAGATCACCTTATCTTCAGTCACCATTTGCATTTCTCGTTGACAACATGGTCAATGGAAAACGAAAGAGGCAAGATTTCACGATAGAAAGGAAAGTGTGCTTGATTAGTTTAATAGAAAGAGCTCGAAGTAAATCTAACGTCGCTCGCGAACATGGACATCTGTTCATCAGTTTCCACAATTTGGAAAAATCGTGACAGCTTCATCCGTGCCTACGAGAACATGTCACAAAACAAGAAACTTCGTAGATCTGTCGAGATGACATCGACGAAGCCTTGTTAAAGTATAAAGTAGTTAAAGGTCCTAAGAAGTGCGAATATCATGATTAGTGAGTCAATCTTGAAACTGAAGCTAGTGCAGTATGACCAATGTAAACTGGAGTTGTAACGTTATATAGCATCAATTTTGAAAACAGGAAAACAGAGTGCCAATGAAGGCAATCTCGGTTATAACGAAGATTTTTACCTGGTCCCTTCGATGACGTTATAACCGAGTTCGACTGTACCTAAGGTTCAGCCCGCGAGAATGAATAAGTGGTAATATTGGAGGTAAGAGAAGATAGAGGCACAAAGGGGGAGGGTACTCGCGGTAGCAAACAAAACCTGTTAAGCTTCCGCTCATCATTAAGCTTCCTCCTCTCGTCTCTTCGTTCAAGACTTTTCCCTCCTCCACCTGTTTGCACAAGTTTTGGATATTGCTGGTGTTCAGGTGTGCTCGGTCCTCTGCAACTTATGTCTTTACAAGTCACGCAAGAAATTTCCGATTTCTCGTCACAAGGAAGAAATCGTGTGAAAAAAAATTCTGCGAAAACTTCAGATATGAATTTCCACTGCTGAGCATTTAAAATTGACAGGCATCGTTTAATAATTTTTTTTATGCTATGGGAATAGGATATTCCGACATTTGGACAATCCATTCAATATTGCACCAGTCTCTCTCCAAACATCCAATGCGAAGAATCATATATACATAGTTTGGCACCGGAATTCACACGAGATCCGATATCAGATATGATTGAAGGAAGGAAAGTTCAATTGCGATCGGCTTGGATCATGTCCTTGATGAGTCGGCTGATAGGGATGTCCCCGACGGTTTCCCGGAAGAAAAGTTGCTCAACAGTTGAACCTGGGATTTCCCGTAAACAGGGTAAGAGAAGTAGCAGTCGCCCGAATCGCGTCATCTGCCTCTGCACTCGATGTCGTGTGTAGTCGTTCAGCAGGTACTGAATCTGGTCCTGCAGCATCTCTACCGCATTCCCGTCGCAGAGCCCGTACGTCTCTTGTGACGGAAAATGAAAAAGAGTTAGAAAATACATGACAGTTTTCCAGCATTTCTTCCGAGACATGAAATCTTGCTGCTTCGAATGATAAATTTCTTGTACAGGGGACTTGAAATAAACGAAATGCATAAAGTAAGACCGTGGGGGATTAAATATGTTTAAGGCATATGAAATGTAATTACGCTTATATTGCAAGTATTTATGGCTTTCCAATATTTAACTAGTTGTATTGATTGATTTATGAAAGTCTTTAAGAATTCCTCCGCTGCTTTTTCGCCCTTCATCTGAAAGCGGTCATTGTTCAATTTCAAAGTTTCCATTCGACTGCATGATGTCTGCGAGAGCAAGCTACTACCTGGTCTGAACAAGATAATGGCTTTGAGGCATCCGCACTCCGTGCTGTCCGGCGAAAGCTGACGATACTTCCTCAACACTTCCTACAGATCCAAGAACACCTTACATTCAAGCTTGTCGGATGATAAAGTGCAATAGAACGGAGGAAGAAGAGTGGAATGGACCTGCATGATGTGGTGATCCCGTTGGAAAGCATGCTCATCACCTGGTTGTGGCTTCAACTGGAGTTTGTAAGTGGATAGGAGCGATGTCAAGTCAAGGGAGTGAGACCATTGAACTAGGTGAAGGAGGAACAGGTCCTTCCAGCTTTCCTCCACTAGGCGAAACTAGTTAGGGGGGGGGGAAAAACAAACGTTTGTACTTTATAAGCGTGTATACGTGACCAGTGTTGGGCGCGTTACTTTTGAAAAGTAACTACTTACAATTACAAGTATGTCATCCAAAAAGTAATTAGTTACCAGTAGAATTACTTCTCACCAAAAGTAACTAGTTACAAGTAGAAGTTACTTTTTAAGTTACTTTTCCTGAACAAAAATTCCGATCTTTCTACAGCTTCTCCACTTCTTCGACAGAAGCTGGATGCATGGACTGAAAGTGAAAATTACCCCTGATTTCGCGAAAATTGAATTATAATCATCATTTAACGGGATAAATACTCATGCTCACTCTTTTCCTGTGCCTCTTCCCTTTCTATGGGCTACTTAACAGGAATTATACGCCGATAGACAGAATGCACCCTTTAGTTTTAAAAAAGCCAATTTTGCCATTGGTGATGGGGAGACCTACCCCAGCCTGCCCCTTATCATGAGTTCCAGATAGAAAAATAGAACAAACCAAAGTCACGTTCTCTTGTTTTCCTTTAACCAGACACGGACTGCATGAATCCAGCTCATACAGTGATGGAAAAAGAATTTTCACTAACTTTTTACAATGTAATGGTATTTTTCATGGCGCAATCAAGGAGATGAGGGTGTTTCAACCATGAAATATGGGGAATTGGGACTGAGGTGTTCGTGTTAAAAGTAGTACATATTCACTTGCAAATCACTCTTTATTGGGTTAGGCTCTCCACTTCGAAGAGCAAGTGCTAGGCCTGAGTATTAACGGAGTCTAACTAATGATGGATTGTTGGGAGAGTGCTATAACGAGGCACTTGAAATATGGAGAGGCAGCTAGGGTATACCCGCCTGCTGAGCCTGAAGGGGGGGGGATCGGACAAAATTGAAGAGAGAGGTGCCAACGATAAGCATACGAAAGGTTTCCGTGCTGATGCACTATCAGAACCAAAGCAACGCCTATCATTCAGATCTAACGTTAGACCAAAGGTTGTCTGTATGGAGTCAGGACACGATGGAACTCATCTAGACATGCTTTCTCAAGTTAGATGCTGGAGTTCGTGCGACGGAAAGTACCTTGGCCATCAGTAAACATAGAGCACTTCACATAAAAGTTTGCATCGATGCAGTGGCGTATTTTGACTGAAGGGTCGGGGTGGGGG